TAGTCTGTCTCTCCTAGTTGTGTGTAGGGATGTCAAATGGGCCAGCCCGCTGGGTTTTGGATTAGCCCTACAGGGTTGGTGGATTTATTGGGTTGGGCTAAATGGTTTTTTATTTTTTCTTTTTAGGTTGGATTGGCCCTAACCCTAAATAACGGGTTGTTGGGCTAATCCAACGGGCTAAATAACTAAACAATATTTTTATTACAAATAGAGTAGTGACTTCCCATCTTGTGATATATATAGTGTGTGTGCGTGTGTGTAGTGTATATATATATACAGTGTGTGTGTAGTGTATATATATAAATATATATATATATATATATAAATATATATATATATAAATATATATATATATATATAAATATATATATATAAATATATATATATATATATATATATATATATTGTATATACTACACACACACTGTATATATATATACACTACACACACACTGTGTATATATATATATACTACACACACACACACTATATATATATATATATATATATATATATATATATATATATATTGTGTGTACAGTGTGTGTGTATATAATATATATATATAGTGTGTGTGTGTGTGTAGTATATATATATATACACAGTGTGTGTGTAGTGTATATATATATACACAGTGTGTGTAGTGTATATATATATACAGTGTGTGTGTAGTGTATATAATATATATATATATATATATATATATATATATATATATATAGTGTGTGTGTGTGTACAGTGTGTGTAGTGTATATAAGTAGATTATTTTATATATACTATCAAATAATGTACCTTCAATACATAAATAATGTACATTTAGTATATTAAAAATGTACCTTATATTCATGGTCTACGCAAGTTGTATGGACTATGGTCCATCCAATAATGATTGGATATTACATGGGCCAGCTCAACAATCCATAAGTTGGCCCAACTCAATCCAATAACCCGATAGGGCCAACCCAATCTGCTTACTTTTTTATTGGATTGATCTTTTTGGATTTTAGCCCTGCAATTTTTTGGGCTTATTGGGCCAGCCCATTGGTTCAGGGCTAAATTGACATCCCTAGTTGCACATAGGTGTATGAATGTTTGCGAGTGGTTTTCAGGGGTATTACTACCCGTGAACTCAGATCAATGAATGTTAACAAGGCAAAATTACATGCACTATAGGTGAAAGTAGGTGCATCTATAGTTATAAGTAGTTGCACCTATAGTTATAAATAGTTGCACATATAGTTATAAGCACACCCAGGTGCATGAATGTTTGCGGAAAGTGAATACTAACTAGGCAAAATTACATGCACTTATAGGTGAAAGTAAGTGCACTTGTAAGTGATTTTACTTGCACTTCGATGTTTAATTATTTACGAAAATGCCACCGCATTTTTTTTAAGTTATTAGATCTGGACACGTGTCGCGTGTTGATTTGTTCGCATTTCCTTCCTGGGCACTTATTCGCACCTGAGTGCATCCCTATATATATATATATATATATATATATATATATATATATATATATATATATATATATATATATATATATATTAAATACTAAAAGCAATTAAGGAAAATATTACCATTTGAACAGAGTGTTGGCCGTTTGTGTTTGAATGTTCTGTGAGTATCCACAATTTGGAAGTCCAGTGCTATGGATTATTGACCAATCAAATGGCTACATCACTGTAAACAAATAATACAAAGCCCATATTAGTCATACCAGTGAAAGTTAAGTAATTAAAGAAACCATAAACCAAATTCCTCTTGGCTATGAATTCTTGGAATTTTTAAAAAATGTGTTCATATATATTTATTTATGAAGATAGTAGCGAAGTTATTGATGAGATTAATATGTATTATGATTGTCGATATATTTCTCCGTGTGAAGCTGTGTGGCGTTTGTTCAGCTATGACATCCAGTTCCGTAATCCCTCTGTAGAACGGTTAAGCTTCCATCTGCCGAATGAACAAAGTATTGTTTTTTATGATGACTTATCTATTGAGAATGTGCTTGAAAGACAAACAATTAAGAGTATGTTTTTAGCATGGTTTGAAGCTAATAAGAGGTATCCCCGAGCTAGGGAATTGACCAATAGAGAAATGCCTCATTGTTTCGTGTGGAAAAGAAAATAACGTCAATGGCAACCAAGAAGATGTGGTTTTGCTATAGGCCGTATGTTTTATGTGCCACCTGGTACTGGTGAGATCTTCTATCTTAGGTGTTTATTGAATTTAGTTCGTGGTCCAATATCTTTTGAAGAGATTCGCAATGTTGATGGAATTCAATATTCATGTTTCCGTGATGCGTGTTATGCTCGTGGTTTGATTTGTGATGAGAAGGAATATGTTGATGCAATACTTGAAGCAAGTCATTGGTCCACTGCCTCAGCTCTTCACCGTTTATTCGTGACTTTGTTAACGTCTAATTGTTTATGCCAACCTGAAAAACTTTGGGATGTTGTTTGGCCACTTCTGTGTGATGATGCAGAGTTCAATCAGCGACGAGAGTTACAAAATCCAGGTAAATTTGTATTCACGAAATGCCTAATTAAAGTATCTATTGTATGATATAATTATTGATTATAACATTTTTTATACTACTAAACATTAATATTAGTTTTTTTCACATGAGAATTTGTTGCATACAAATGGTGATCCAATCCAAGGAATTGTGGAAAGTACATTTCCTATGTTTCGAGAACAACATGACGCTGATTATTTAATTAGTCGAGTAATTTTGGCCCCAACTCTTGAAGTTGTAGACGAAGTTAATGCGTACATGACCAACTTGAATGTTGCCGAGTGTAGGACCTATTTTAGTTCTGATTCGGTCTGCCCCACTGAGAGTACCTCTGATGTTGTGGCTGGGTTACACACTCCGGAGTTATTGAACGGGCTAAAATGTTCTGGGTTACCAAATCATTGCTTAACATTGAAGATTGGGTCTCCTGCTATGTTGTTGCGAAATATTGACCCTTCAGCTGGGTTGTGTAATGGTACACGGTTAATTATTACAAGATTAGCAGACCACGTTGTTGAAGCAAAGCTCTTATTTGGCAATGCAGCAGGCTCCAAAGTTCTGATCCCGCGTCTGTCCCTAACACCATTTGACAGTACATTGCCCTTCAAATTTCAAAGGAGGCAGTTCCCGCTTATGCTGTCCTATGCAATAACAATAAATAAAAGTCAAGGACAAACGCTTTCTACTGTTGGCCTACTTCTGAGAAAACCTGTTTTTGTACATGGCCAGCTATATGTTGCATTGTCTAGAGTCAGTTCACCAAGAGGGCTTAAGTTACTCATTCGCAACGAAGATGAAAAGTGTGTTTCTTCAACGATGAATGTTGTGTACAAAGAAGTGTTTAATAATTTATAATTTATAACAACTACATATTATTAAATCTTTGTTATAAATTGCATGTTATTTTGGTGACCTTAGTACTTATTTAATATTTTTGCAATCGTATATGTACAATTATGTGTAACTATATACTTGTCTATGTGTGTGTGTGCATATATATATATATATATATATAACTATTTATGAATTTCTTTATTTATATTCATACCGTGCAATGCACGGGTGGAGTACTAGTTAAAAATAAAACGAACCACATTTCTTATGTCTTCATTGTTCTCATCGATCAAAATCAATTCTTTTCATTTGTCCCAATTGACAATTGTTGTCGATCTGCAATTAAATTCTACAATAAGAGATTAAAGAAAATTATTATTATGAATATTAAATAATATTTAAAAATAAAGAAATTTAAATGGAACTATAAAATAAGTTCATACTACATACCATATTTTTATTTTTCAATGCACAAGTACGCTTGGTATGCCCTTTCTTTTTTAGAGTTGAACATGTAATTCCATTACTTTTAAGCTCTAAAGCTCCTTTCATTCTGATAGACCGAGGACGACCTTTAGTAGTCACACGAGGAGGATCACGCATTGCTACATTATTATCATCATCATCTTGATGACTTATCATGCTTGTCAAACAACCAGTGGTACTAGTCATGTCATCATCAATCTTCAATGCATCTAACTTTTTGAATAAACATTGCAAGCATTCTATTGTGGTGTCATAATGCTTTTTTGAACGTGAAGCTTTTTCAGAAAGTTGTAATGAGTGAACCATGATATTATTAAACAATGATGTTGAACACATATTGTAACTACTCATATCTTCTTCATTTGATGTGCTTGTAATTTCTCCTTTTTTGGCATCTGTTGTCCACTTTTTTAAAATGTAGTGCATAGGTAAAGAATATACATTTTTCTTGATAAGAACCATCAACTGGTGTCTACAAATGATGCCCAAAAATTCAAACATGTGACATGAGCACTCTATCGTTGTTGACGAACTCATGAATGTCACTATGTACTCTGGTTTTTCTTTGTCAAACTCATGCACCCTATATACAGACTCATGCTCAATAGTAATAATTTTTTCTGCAACAAATTGCTGAGAATGAATCAATTCGTCTTGAAACATTCTAAACATCTTTCTTGTATAAACCTTTGAAGCTTCTTCCTCCATTGGATACAATGTTTTTAAGATAGGTTTTGAATTCAATGTTTTGAAGGTTTTCTCCCTTTCTTTATTGTACCTTGCGTCAAGAGCCTTGTCATATTGAACAACAAACTTACTTGTTGGTGTATTAGCATTTATATAATCTTTATTTAATGTACTTATTCATACTTTCACTTCTTTGAGTAGTAGACATTCCAGCACAAAAACTAGTACGTACATAAGCAGGAATCCATTTTTCACGAATGGAATACAACTTCTCAAGCCAACTATTTCCTCGTAAAGCATAATTGTCAAGAATTTTTTTTTCCCATTCTACTTCAAAAAACAAGCACATGACTATGATCTTTAGTAAATTTAGATATTACCCATTTGTCTTCGTCTTTTCTAGATACATAAATCATGGCTTTGCATCCCATGCGTGTTTTATCATATGGAGGTTTTTTCCTGTTGTCTCGCTCTAAATATTTTTTGCACGGTAACCTTGCTTTGAACAAACAAACTCTTGTCCAATAACCATTTGATTCTTTCTAGACTTTACTATGCGGCTTTTGCGAATTCCAAGACCTTCATATTTTGCATAATTAGTATAGCACATTAAAGCATCATCTAGTGATTGAAACTCCATTCCAATACATAACTCTATTGCGTCATTATTCACATCACTCTTCGCATCCGCATTGGCATTTTGTTCGATCTCACCTATATTAAATTCACCATTATTCACCAATTCATCATGATTGCTTTCACTCAATTCTGTAGTAATTTCACAACCATGATCTTCAATTTCGACTATATTATGGTCTTTATCATGGAAAGTAGCCATTATTAATCTATAAAGAAATATATAAAGGGATTAGAACACAAGTAAACCCATGAATAGTAGTATATTCTAGGTTAAAGATTATTGTCACCAAGCAGAAAAATAGTAAAAAGAGAAAACATATGAGAGATGAACAATATAGTCATTACAATGTTCGATCATCATTCTTAGCCACTAACAAAATTATGCATATTATGCTCTTAAAATTTAAAACCAAAAACCCATAAATCAAGTTACAAACTCAACCTTTCCACTTTATATCAAAATTAAAGTATAGATTTTTAGAGTTTACAAATTAAAAAATAAAATAAAATAAAAATCAATAGCTTAAAAGATAATTTCAACAATAAAAAAATAGATATAAACAACAACTTACCGAAAAGAACTCTTTACTAATAATACAGATAAAGATTCTGACAAAGAGAAAAGATTGACAGGTTGGGTTCTTTTGAAAGAGAAAATTTGGATTTTGATGAATATATATTCTTACAAGATGTTGCAATTGTTTCTAATAGTGACTAAGGTTGTAATTTAAATTTAAGAGTTTAGGGGTTTAAATAGATTTAGGAGTTAAGATAGATATAGGAAATTCGATGGTTTTTGTTAATTAAAATTTAAAAATTCATAATTATAAATATAATAATTTACATATCAATTACAATTCTTAATTTAGAATTCTTTAATTTTAGTGTCCAGAAAAAGAATAGGAATTTATTTGTTTATTAGAATGCTTTTAACAGATTTTCAAAATAAAATAAAATTGCTTTAACGGGTTGGGTTGGATGGGATATTAATATTAATTCAAAATTATTAATAATTAGATAATTAGTAAGTAATAAGTATGTTTTTAGAAAAATAGATATATTTTATTAATTAGAAATAAAAGAGTTTCTTAAAAAAAAATACAAGTCGTAGATATTTTGTAAAAAAGGATCCGATTAATATTGAATTTATTTTTAATGATGTGTCATCTCCTCCTTCACCGCCGATGTAAAGCGTCTATAGGTGCATCAAATATTAATCCTTTTCCTAATTCAAACCTTAATCAAAATTCTGCGGACAAAATAAATCCACTGCCAGCACACAATATTTTCCTAATAAAGCAGCTTTTCCACCGCACACTGTTCGCTATATTTTCTTCAAAGTCGAAGTCGGAGCCGAGAAGTGCAAACTCAACGACGCAGTTTTCTGACTGTCTCGCCCACACTGCCAGCCATAGCGAAGGTTTGGAGTTTGGATTCTCAAGAGTAGCTGTTCGCGCCGCACATCAGCCTAAAAATCGAGGTATTTAATTTGAGCATACGCAAATTAGCAAAATTAGGGATTTAGGGTTCTAGCGGTAATCTGCAATCACAAATTCACAAGTTGTTTAATGCTTGTATAGTTGTATTGTCGAATTTGTTGGCGACTGGGCAACGGATTCACCCTTTGAGCTCCCTGAGGAATTTCATTATCTCTGTAATTTCTCAGCTCACAAGGTTGCTTTTACTGCCTTCAATGTGAGTTTTCAATTGATTCTTTATTATTTACACTATTGGGATTTCCTCTTCTTTCTTTTTGCTGGTTTAATTATGTGGGGGAGGATTATTGATATTATATGTCTTTACAAATAAATAAATAAACAATCTGCTGCCTTCCCCTGTGTGTATGTATACATTCTTCCGCCTTTCCTTTCAATCCCAGACACTAACTTCATACTGTGATTATAATCTTTAGGGATTAATGTTCAATAGATGTTCGTAGTGCGATTGAAATTGATTTCGATATATGATTTATTTGTGTTTTCTACTCTGCAATTTTTCATCCTTTTGTGTTGCAATTTAATTGCTATCGCGGGTATCACCAAGTGCACTCATTTTAGGATATTGTTTTAATTTTAATTTGTTTCTTCTTTAAATTGCATATGTTGAAGTTATGTAAATGATGTCGGGAAGAGATCGAATCAGTCAACTTCCTATAGAAATACTTGACAATATTTTGGGATTTTTTGCCGATCGTAGAAGCTGCTAGAACTGCCGTTTTGTCTACCATTTGGAGAGATTGTTGGTCCAGTCTCACACAGCTTAACTTTGATGATAAGTTCTTTGCTTATGTTGGGGAAAAATATTCTGGCAGTTATAATCGCACATCAACCTGTATGTATGTAATCAACAAAGTTCTCATGCGGCACCATGGACCTATTCGGAAATTTGCCTTGGTTTTTGATTGTGACTCACCAATCATGAGTGATACGCATGGTTCTCGAAAATTGACTTCGATCAATGGTTCCTTTTTATCACTCAAAAAGGTGTTGAAGAAATGAACTTTACTTTTCGAACAGAGTTTGGTCCAAATAGATGCTTCGGGCTCCCAAATTGCATATTATCTTGCTCAACTCTCAGAGGTTGGATCTCTGCGGTAATATTTCCACCAACAATAAATGCCCCTTTCGTATTTCCGAATGTCACTTCACTTAGTTTTGATGTCGTTATCTTTAGTGCTATTAATATGAATTGTGTTATAGATGTTCCTATGCTTGAGACTCTTTCATTCAACAATTGTGTAAATACATCATATTTCAACATTAAGGCTCCCAGGCTTGGCAGTTTAACACTCAGTATTATTGCAATGATGACGATATCGACGATTATGTTCCTATTCTCCCGGTTAGCTTGGACTTGTCATTTATTCATACTCTTTGTTTGGATTTCAATTTCAAGCCTTTCAAGGTATATAGCCAGTACTTTCTTCCTTATTTTTTGCGGACTATTATT